TCCATGTTTCTTGTGTGAAGTTTGCCTAAAAAAGGACACTTACTATATTGGACATAGCCTCCTATCAATCTTTTTTTTTTTTAAAAAAAAAAAAGCTATTTTAGTTTCAATGCCATTTTAAGTGATTCATTTTGCCCTTTTTCAAATTTGTTTTTTCTTTTAAAAAAATTAAAGATGTGAGTTGAATAAAATATTATTATTATAATTTTTGAGAATCTCTAGTTGGTGTCTTCAAATTGAAGTGAGGAGTCTTTCAAGGGTAAATTGAATAAAATAATATAATTATGAATGAGGTGAAATTTGGAGATCCATATTAAAAGACTTGCCAATAACAATGCTCTAAGCAACTAAGCCCAACACCTTAACAATTAAGGTTGTGGATTTTAATATATGTCCAAATTAAATATAATTGTAGTTTGTAATTCTTTAAAAAAACTATATTTGAATCTTGTATTCTTAAATATAACATACATGCAAACAAACAAATGGTACATGCTAAAGTTACAAGATCAAAAGCAATTAGGATAATATTGCCTATTAGCATTAATAAGCCTATAATTATGCATTGTTTAATCTTATAATAAAAGAAAATAATTTACAAATGTTGAATTACCATGTAAAGTAAAGAAAATTGTGAATATAGATAACTGCAAACCTTATTATCTTCACATAATGGGCCTTCAATAGCAACTTATTAGGTATCAAAAAGTCCACCATATAAGAATGATGAAGAAATTAAAATGCATGCCTCACTAAAGTACATGGTGACTACCAAAATAAATGGGATATCAATTTCACATTAATCACAAATTAAGCTAAATAATTTAGTGATAATTTTTTTAGTAAAAGTAAAAAGTTTTAAATTCAAGTTGTATGGTATAAAAATGAATTTTGTTAATAGATAGATGAAAGTTGCCTCTCATTTAGCCACCCAAGATTTAAAAAAAAAAAAAAAATTATCTTAGCATTTGGTTAGTAACTCTAACCCTTCATATTGTCACTTATACGTCACATTACAATGCCTTGCTAACAAACTTTACTTGTATAGAAACACCATTGGAATTAGGTTTTGCTTCATTTTGGCCTATAGCTTTTAAAATTTTCAACTTTAGGCCATATAAGCTCCAGACCTATTTTCTATGTTTTAAATTGAGGAGAAGACAACTAAAACATCGAGTAAAACATATCAAAATCCTATTTTAATTTGGATTCTAAGTGATCACTATGATGATTAATTTCATCTGTGATTTTTATACTTGAATATTTGCTATTTTGGTTGCCATTTTTTAAATTCCAATTGTCTCTCATCATTTGGTATAGCCATTTCATAAAAAAAGTTAAATAGAGTTGATGAATTGATACATACTGTCTACTCAATTTTAGTAAAAACAAAAATCTCCCAATAATCATATGACATCAAATAAGCACTACAATATAATCAATTTTTGAGTGAATGAGCTTCCCCATGGCCAACACCTTCTTACTTCTTGGCTCTTCAAATCTTGAAGAACAAGAGAAGGGTATTAAGAAGTTTGGCAAGCTTTTGCTGCAATTGTAAAATACCAAAAAGTCTAACTGATTGATAACTTTACCATAGAATTTGGATTCTTTACTTCCATAACTTGCTCTTAGGGAAGTCTTTTATATGAAAAATTGGCATTAGAATAACATTAAATAAAACAAACATTTAACTTATATCTTCTCCTTTATGCTATTTTACCAATGTTGAAAGGAATATACAACTTTAAATTAGCTTTTAGATCTAAGTTGGTGTTAGTAATGAAGATGAATGGCTCATACTTCAATTTTGTGAGCTTTGTCATTGAGATTTGGCATGGTTCTTTCCCACAACTCTACTAGCTCTTTTTGTTAGGTTCTCTTTGTATTTTGATGATGATTTAAAACTATGATTTAAAACTATGATTTAAAAGAGTTTAAT